CGTGATAATTTGAAGGGGTTTGTGTAATAATTTGAAGGGGTTTGTGCGATAATTTGAAGGGGTTTGCGTGATAATTTGAAGGGGTTTTTGTGATAATTTGAAGGGGTTTGCATGATAATCTAAAGGTGTTGCATGATAATTTAATGGGGTTTGCGTGATAATTTGAAGAGATTTGTGTGATTGAAAGGTGTTTGCGTGATAAATTAAAGGGGTTTGTTTGATAATTGGAAGGGGTTTGCGTGATAATTGGAAGGGGTTCGTGTGATATTTTGAAGAGGTTTGCATGATAATTGGAAGGGTTTGTGTGACAATTTGAAAAGGTTTACGTGATTGGAAGAAGTTTGCATGATAATTTTAAGGGGTTTAAATGATATTTTGAAGATTGAATTGAATAATAAATGGAATTGGTTTGTTTGATAATTTTAAGGGGTTTGTGTGATAATTTGAAGGGGTTTGTGTGATAATTTGAAGGGGTTTGTATGATAATTTGAAGGGGTTTGCGTAATAATTTGAAGAGGTTTGCGAGATCATTTGAAGAGATTTGTGTGATTGGAAGGTGTTTGCGTGATAAATTAAAGGTGTTTGTTTGATAATTTGAAGGTGTTTGCATGATAATTGGAAGGGGTTTGCATGATAATTGGAAGGGGTTCGTGTGATTTTTTGAAGGGGTTTGCATGATAACTGGAAGGGGTTCGTGTGATATTTTGAAGGGGTTTACGTGATTGGAAGAAGTTTGCATGATAATTGGAAGGGGTTTGTGTGATAATTTGAAGGGGTTTGTGTGATAATTTTAAGAGGTTTGTGTGATAATTTGAAGGGGTTTGCATGATAATCTGAAGGTGTTGCGTGATAATTTGATGGGGTTTGCGTGATATTTTGAAGGCTTTGTGTGACACTTTGAAGGGGTTTGCATGATAATTGGAAGGGTTTGTGTGACAATTTGAAGGGCTTTACATGATAATTTGAATGGATTTACATAATAATCTGAAGGTGTTTGATAATTTGAAGGTGTTTGCATGATAATTAGATAGGGTTTGAATGATATTTTAAAGAAAATTGCATGATAATTGGAAGGGGTTTGTGTAATAATTTGAAGGTATTTGTGTGATAATTTGATGGGGTTTGCGTGATAATTTGATGGGGTTCGCATGATAATTTTAACGAGTTTGCATGATAATTTCAAAGGTTTTGCATGATAATTTGAAGAGATTTGAATAAGAACACTACTAGAACATGTTTGACATTTGATTCCACATACATGTAGATGGTGTGGGGTATAGGATCTTTTACCGAATCAGATAACAAGTCAGTTACTTCGAGTTGAAAAGCAAGACTACTTTATTCCGTGATCTAAACACTACTGCCTCGTGTTAGCCTTGACTCACACATGTGACAAATTTACATTCTGGCAGGCAATCTCAAGTTACATTAACATGAGGGGTTTGCGTGATAATTTGAAGAGGTTTGCGTGATAATTTGAAGGGGTTTGCATGATAATCTAAAGGTGTTGCGTGATAATTTAATGGGGTTTACATGATAATCTGAAGGTGTTTGATAATTTGAAGGTGTTTGCGTGATAATTAGATAGGGTTTGAATGATATTTTAAAGAAAATTGCATGATAATTGGAAGGGGTTTGTGTAATAATTTGAAGGTATTTGTGTGATAATTTGATGGGGTTTGCGTGATAATTTGATGGGGTTCGTATGATAATTTCAAAGGTTTTGCATGATAATTTGAAGAGATTTGAATAAGAACACGCCTAGAACATGTTTGACATTTAGTTCCACATACATGTAGATGGTAAGACAGGAATGAAATGTGTTGCCATTGAAACTCACATTAAAATTATTGTCAATATTTTATATTTTGATATCCTGATAGAATATACACAGTGCCAACATTTCTGACATATTGATTATAGTAGTAGTAGTAGTAGTAGTAGTAGTAGTCCAGAGTTTTAAATCCGCTTTGGTCCCCGAAGACGAGGGTGGCCGGATTCACCTTAAACTAGTGGCAATCGCTCTTACCCCTCCCTCCACTTTGCACGATTTAAAGCATCCCTCATCCTCATCCCAACCTTCCCACTCTCCTCCTCCACTTGCATCTTCCACGTCTTCGTTGGCCCTCCCCTTTTCCTTGGACCGCTCACCTCTAAATCAAGGGCCCTTCTTAATATATGCCCATCCTCCCTCCTCAGCACATGCCCATACCAACGTACCCCAT